GTGTTCCATTGTGCTGAGCTCCTTTTCAGATGAACCTACATCACTGTCTTTGAGCTTTAACATACATGTATTTCTTTATTTTCAGCGTTTGTGGTGTGAACTAATTTGTTGAGGCTCTTCGCCGATTCATATAAAAGAAGTGAGTTCACTTATTAAACATCTATCGTCTATAAATCTCCCCTCCTTCTGTTTTTGTGTAGTTCTTCGCCGTTGCGCGCAAAAGACGTGAGGTCAAATCCTGGTTGAGGTTATTTCCTTGAATGTTTTCAGTGGCGTGCTGGGATGCTGTATCTTCAAATTCTTGTGAACCCTGACTGGTCTTGACGGACAATGTCGAAACATCTGTCTCTAAATTATGATCTAAATTGCGTCCACGGAGACGCGTTCAAAACAATTAGGGCGGTCCGTTTGCTCAGCCGGTATTATACTCGTCTACGGAGCGGGTGGCACTGGTTCGAATCCCAGACAGAGCGTCCTTGAACTCCGGTCGTTTTGTGGAGTTTTCAAGACTCTGAACCAATTTATTACCCTGTCCTGTCGGAGACGGACACTAAATTCAGAGGTTCCACCTCTTAAATATTCTTAAATATATAGCGTTGACAGGGGCTTTACTTTTGTTCTCAAAACATTTACAATTAGCCACGGCTCATGGGTGACCTCAGGGGTGACTGACAGGTGTTCTAGTGTGGTTTACTTCTTCTTTCCTATCTACAAACATCCATAATCCTTATCTTTTCTCCTGTTTGTGTATTTTACCCATTTTAACACTTCTAGCCTAACCTTCGGCACTTATAAGTTATATGACCTAATTGTGTTTCAAGTGCTATTAAACTCTTACAAACCCCCTTCCCCCTCCTCCCCCTCCCCCGGGGCGGTGCTACTGACTGAAGTGTCTTTTAGCTATTCCCAAAGGGTCGACATTAACATGTTCTTATGTTAAGTAGAATTATAAATGGACGGATCCATCAATGTCATGCTTATAACTGTGCATGAACTGCATCGGGGAACTGCTGCTTTTTCTTTCCTAATCCTTGCTATCGTCAATTTTCCTCTACTTCTTTTGTATGTTTGTCGCACTCTTGTGACCCTGTAATTCCGGGGTGCTGTTGAAGCTAGAGAGTGAGCAGAGCAAGTCTGATTCCCTGTATGGACTTCTCTGTTGACATCCGCCCCTTGACGCTCATAAGACCTTAAGCAGTCGCGAGCGCCGTAGCGACTCAACAAAAAATTTTTTTAAAAACGAATACTAAAACAAACAACCCCCACCCCCACCTAAAAAACAACCCTAAACATTGTTGACCTACACCGACTACCACCACTCGATATCAGAGTACATGTACATCATGTACAAATAATACTACAGTGGAAACCTGATATAACAGGGATGGTGGGAGTAGAGAAAATGTCCTGTTATATCCGATCCCTGTTAAATCAGAAATGCAAGGAAAATAAGCATTTGTGGACTAATCCAGCTGTACTTATTCATAGGTAGTTTCCTTTGCCACAAGCACCTACGAACAGGGGTTTTGGCACCAACTTTCTCCTTGCCTCCTTAAACCACATCAGAAGAGCTTGTTCCACAGCTTCTGCATCGGGTAGTCTCATCTTCTTTCGATCCAGAGCAAACTTTCCATTGGAGTATGCTGCTGCTACCTTCTCTCTGTCCATGGTAATGGTGTGAATTGACCCTTGTGGAATGTCGAACTGAC